CATAGTATTGAAAATGTTCATTTTTATCTCTTGGTAAACACAATTGTTAAAGAGCGTTGACATACCAAGCGAGAATAGTGATAACACGGCTCCTCCTCACAGTCCTTGACGGACATCTTGACATGCTTATGTTTCGACCGTATCATGGACTGTGATAGAGATGGCTGGGTTCTCATTAATGATGATAGCAATCAGATCATGTTTCACATTTTAATCCCGCTGGAATTGCCCTCAAAAAAATTGTTGAGATATTACATGAACCTATTGAATTAGTAGTTTCCGAGAAACTACCAAAATACTTGTCGAATATGATGACAACGTCTTTTTTTATCGTATGATGCAGGGCATGTTCAACATGCGCCTCATAACTTTTGAAGCTTATCAGATAAGAGGTCGAAAGTTTGGATCTATAGATTCCCTCCCGCGGGCTATCGACTCCAAGAATACAAGATAAGGATAAACATTTTCAACAGTGTAATATGTACTGGGAACACTTGATCTCTCACGGGCCCTCTATTAGTTTTGCTGCTCGCTTGAAGTGATGGTGATATCAGAAGGTAGATCATCTGGAGAGAAAAATCAGTGATTTCGAAGTTATTTAATGACCGAGATGAGTTGCTTATCCGAAAACTATTCTTTCGACGAAACAGTACACATAAAATACACATCGCAATATTCAACTCAAATAAATGTGTTTTTATTTATGCACACTGTATCGAAGAAACGGTCAAATGGTTGATGAGCGGCGCAATCGAAATTTCAAAACTGTTTGAAACTCAGCACATCTTGTGGATCCTCTTGTTTTAGCAATTGTAGCCAAATGTTTAGACTCCTGAATTCTTGCCTCACGGAATAGTATTTTCTCAATAGTTGTCTTGACTAATTACCAACCCTACTCATTGAAAATATTGAGAAAAAAGTTGATCTCTACGAAATGGCTTGTTCCATATACAGAAAAGTTTCACCATAAACATCTCATCATGCTCGGTCTGACTGCACACTCAAAACGGCACGATTTGAGATTTTTTTATTGAAATGTTGCACGTTACTTATGGAGACTATGTTTTGTTAAATCATTTTTTAAAACATGATTCCATGAACTTTGCCCAGGTTTTTTTCAGAGATTGATTGCCCTTGTTTATCTTACGGTATATGAGAACGTGTGCAACTTGTAAAAAGCGTTGAGAGGTTTTTTTGCTATTTTAACGGAATCTTGCTCCTTTTCTGACACTTCTAGAGAAGAGTTGTTTGGAAAGTTCTGAAACTTTCAGACCCATTAGATTGCAACTAGTGATTAGAATTTTATCATGAACTCAAAACTCAAGAATACATTCTTCTCGCTTTTTTCTTTAAGATGATAGGGTCGGCTAAGTCGAAACATTTTTCACAAACACTATAATAACGAGTAAGACATTAAATTGTCTAATTACCAATTATCAGAGTTCTTCTATATAAAGAAGATAATCACATTAGCTATACAAAGTTAGAAAAATAAGTCAGTCCATTACAGTGCAAGAATTTTTGTAGAGCCTGAAATTCTGTATCTGTTCATATAAAAAGAATCATTCTTGCAATTTCATTTTTTTAAAGAAAATCGTCAAAATAAAATATGATTTCATCGGCTAAGGATATCTTCTTGATTTGTAGCGTAACATGAAATATATTGAAACATTTAAAAGTTTGTTTTTTTTTGTACGAAAAAATTTTCTAATTAAATCTAACTGCAGAGTATAAATTTTCTAATTGATTAATGCTGTTTTTTGTCATTTAATATTTTGCATGCTACAAATATTTAGCAAATGCATTTTCAACGAGAATATATCCATTTTACTTTTTTTTCAAGATTTCATTATCACATTAGCAGTAACGTTTTGAACATGGCCACACAATTAGTCGATGCTAATGACACAAGACGCTTCGAACGACTATCCGATATTCCCAGAGAACCGCAATGCTGGTTATTGCCGATAGAAGGATACCAAAAAATGCCATTGGTGTCACTGGAAGAAGCTGTCGAACCACTTTTTAGCATTGTGTCGGACATTAAACGCAAAGCCTATATAGCGAAGCAGAACTGTACACAACTCGTTGACGGACTCTCTTCTGCTGAGTCAGCCTCAATTATGCTTTATACAATGGACTGGGAACCACACGAAAAATGTCTTTATTTTTCTCTCAACAAATGTCTTCGTGACAAACAACGAGAGGCTTTAAAACCATGGTTTCTATTCTTGAAACTTTTTCTCACAGCACTGACCAAGTTACCCTCATTGTCTCGCATGGTGTTTCGTGGTGTCAAAATGAATTTGACTGACAGATATCCACCAGGCTCGACATTTATTTGGTGGGGTTTTTCATCGTGTACAACGAATGTTAATACTTTACAATCGAAAAAATTTTTTGGCAAGACAGGAGATCGAACCTTGTTCGCTATCGAATGTCATTCAGGCAAAGATATTCGTCAGCATTCCTATTATCAATATGAAAACGAAATTCTTCTTCCTCCTGCTCGTCAATTTACAGTTGTCGGTTGTCTCGATCAAGGTAACGGTTCATATTTGGTTCAACTGAAAGAAACTGAGCCGTCGATTGTTCTAATTGAGCCAGTATCCGTCGAAACGAATTTAACTCTTTCAGCCATTGATCCTGAGGTTGAATGGTTGTCGCCGATTCTCACTCAGAAATCTAAACTTGACGCAAAAATCAATCAATATCAGCGTTTCACACGAGTGAATCTTACATTCGAAGAATTAACTGATCAAGATATGCCGACTATTGTCAATGAGATAATACTGTTTAAGACATGCAAAGAACTCGATTTAACAAATAATCAGATTACATCACAAGGTGTCTCGATTTTAGCTGCAGCATTACAGAAGAATACAACATTGAAAGCCTTGTCTCTTTTGAGTAATCATGTGTCTGACGAAGGTATTCGTTCTCTGGCAGAGTCACTCTCGGTTCATAATTCGACTCTTACAACGCTTGGTCTTGGCTCTAATGACATTACAGATGAAGGTGTTAAATATATAGCCAATATGCTTCGAACTAATCAAACATTGATGGTATTGACGTTACAAAATAATCAAATTAGTAGTCGAGGAGTTGAGCTGTTGATGGATACGCTCGGCCGTTTTAATAAGAGACTCACAATCTTAAATATTTCCTCGAACACGCTGATTAATGATTCGTGTGTTGATTCGATTATTCGCATGCTCACTTCCAATCAAACACTCAAAGAATTTTATGTAATAAAATGCAGTTTATCGTCAATAAGTATAAGAAAAATTCAACAGGCTGCAAAATTAAAACGAGGTTTTGATCTTCATGTATGAAATATCTATCGTCACTCTTCTATCACACAGGAACAATGGAACGCTAAATCCATAGGATTTCAGTCTCTTTTTGGAATAAAGCTTTTTCTTGAACTTTTTGTGTTGATCCAGTGGAAAGTTGATCAAAAAAAGAGCTTCGACAGAATGAGCTAGATACTTGCATGTAGAATGTTGCAGAATGAGGTCGTTTTTCCAAAAAAATTTAGCCATGCCTATCGCGGCCTGTAAACGAGATTAGAAATCACCATGCCAACACGTATGTCATCAGATCAAAAAATGACACCGATATACTTCTCACGGCTGGTAATAGTGTAAAAAGAACACTGATATGTATTTCACATGGTCATAGAAAAAGTGAAAAAATGCTGAAAACCCATGAAGTAAAAAAAACGCCTAGTATCAGATAGATAGACAGACGAAACGAATAAATTATCGTTCTACTAACTCTAGACATCATACTGGGAGAAATGTTCGGTTTTGAAAATGGTTCCGCCTACAAGGTCATATCATACGTTAAGTCAAGTCTTATGGAAAACCTTTCAGCGCAATTCGTGCATAAGTAGAGTGTGAAACTCGATGAAATCGATTTATATGTAAATGTGAATCCTCGCCACATCTGCCATAATTCATAAGAGAATCAAAAAATAAGTATTGAAATGCCTGCAGCGCTCTGTAATTATACAAAGGATTTCGCTACATATCTGTTGTGATCTGTTATGGGATCTAACTTTCAGTTTGTTGAAATGTCTGTAGCAATATCAGAATGTTTTCGACATATCTGTTATGGTCTGTGACGTGGATGGAAACGGGATAGATCTAAATGTCGATCGTGTTTGATAAAAAAATTCCATTCAATTAAGAATGACCTCACTTACCCGTCTTTGATGTGAACGACAGCTTTCATCGCATATAAGTAACGTAGATGTGATTTTGAGAAACTGTTTAACCGAAAGTGTATATCCAGAAACAAACGAACTGATTTGAAGAAAGTGAGACTGCCATTAGGATCGATAGCAGAAGTATAAAAGCGAAATACATTTAGCCACAGAATACTCAAATGATTCATTGTTACGACACGAGAGACTTTCGTATCCGATGCTCTCCTTTCAAAGCTTCGGCACATGTAGAAAGGTTTTGTACAAAGGTTCTAGGATACTCACGATTTTGTGGGACTAAAAAATATTCAGTACGAAACCCTTCAGGAAGATCTGTCTATCCACTCAACTTTAGAATCAAAAGGCTTCGCAGGGAAAATATAAAATCTTTTTCATGCTATCAAGACTCTAAAAAGGCTCCATATAAAAAATACGAAACCGTTATCATTACATCGAATCCTAATAAGACTTCGGAGAGATAATAAAGAAATTCTGGCTCTTGCAACGAAACCAAAAGGGTTTTGGGACAGAAAATATAAAACCTGTTCCACACTGCCGAATTTAAAAAGATTCCATAAGTAATACGAAATCTTTTTAGATACTGTATAACACTTATTCCAGAATTTAGTTATAGGACACAAAGCAGGGATTAACTGTTTATTTAATCTCGCCTTTGAACCAATTTATTGGAAAACTAGGCGAATGGTGCGTACACCAGTCATAGTCTGTGTTTGCAATAAACGAAATGTGTCTTTAGTTGATTGAATAAAGTGTAAAAGACCAACACAATTTAGACTTCGGTCATGCGAATATAAATTTTGCCACTTGGAAGACCACCTTGAATTGCTATACCCTGTGGTAAATGTTTCTTGATATCTTCATCTCTAACATTGGAAGGAACCATTACTTTCTGTCCAACTTTCCAATCGACCGGTGTAGCAACCGGCAATCGAGCCGAGAGCTGAAGACTATCGAGCAATCGAAGGATTTCACTAAAGGCATGAAGAGAAAACAAAGCCATAACGGCCGCTACTAAAGAATGTCTTACTCAAAATTGCGGCCGGTAGTAGCTGGATAGAGGATACTTGCTTTCAGTTTCTTGTCCGGTCCAATGATGAATACCTGGTGACAAAGTTCAATCAAGAAGCAAAACCAAAAGAAAACTTACAGCCCGAGCCGTAAGAGGTAAACCATTCGAATCGAACTCTTCCGGATCGATCATACCGAGTTGCTTAGCCAACATTCGATTAGTATCTTCAATGATCGGAAAAGGGAACTCTGCGGATTGACAAATGTCACCATCGGCTTCATTTAAACTTCCATATACTTGAAGGTCCTGAAAGAAAACATCCGATGATCGAACGAAAGAAGTAATATATTTACCTTGATCCACGCATGATGATTTTCAATCGAATCACATGATAGAGCAATACATTTAACATTACGTCGGGCAAACTCAGATGTCAATTTCGCTGCTCGACTCAATTCAGTTGTGCAAACCGGTGTAAAATCAGCCGGATGAGAAAAAAAAATGCACCAACTAGAGTAGTGATCGTAAAAAATGGCAACATCCATATCAATACTAACCTATCACCAATCCAATCATGCAATTGGATATCACCAATCGTAGTTTTCAAATGAAAGCTAGGGAACACATCGCCCAATTTCAACGCCGTTTTTCCGCTGCTTGCTTCTGAACTAGAAGACGAAGATGGGCGCAGATGGAGAGAACAATGGTTTCATTTTTATTCCATAAGCAACAAAATTTCGTCTCTATTTTCTTCTACTGGTCTTTTTTCTTCTAGTACTCTGTTTTTGGCTATGAATCTCGCATCACTTTGATCTAACGAATCATTAGCCTACAGTCTTTTAAAAGAAGATTTGTCGAATGAGATGTTCCATGGGCAGAGCTCAGCGTGATCGTGACTGTGAGGGTATATATAGGCTTGGATATGACACTATACCCAGCAATCCACACCCACGATGCTGTGATTAGAGGTGTTAGCCGCCGATTTTTCGCCGCCGCCGCCGGTAAAATTTTCATCCGCCGCCGCCGAATAGATCGTCTCGGCGGGAATTTTTCCGCCGCCGCCGCCGATCGAGTGAAGGGTCACAGTTCAAGCTTCCTCTTTTCTAGATTATCACTTGTTGATAATAATCAGTAATATCTCAAGTTTGATCTATGTGACAATTAGAGATTGCTGAAATCAACAGAACTTTTAAAAAATAGGAATTAGTGTATTTTTTCTTGGATGACATATGGTCTGAAAACCGAACTGATAAGAAAATATGTCTCCTTGTGATTTTGTGATGCTACCATATTTATTAGGTTTTCATTTGCATTATTTCTTCATGCACAATAGATTCATCGCTATTATTTTCTTCGTTTCGCGATTTTTGACTTATTCAGTATGCAGTTTCGACTAGCTGTCTAGTTTGAGTTCGAACATCGATGTAACTAACATTGCAATTCGAATTCGAATTCCAATCGACACTCTCCTACCAGTTTAGAAAAAAGAAAAATATTTAGTTTCAATTTGAATTCAAATAATCAATGAAAACAAATCTTGCTCTTTTTCTCCACTCACAGAAAAGTATCGATTTGAATTTGGATTCAAACTCTAATTTCAATGTTAGTTTCACTTATGATCTAATTCGAGCTAGTATAGGGATGGCACATTATTTTTATTTTACTTTGAAAAAGTAAAGTAAAGTAAAGTAGAGTAAAGTAAAATACTATAGTTCGAATGTGGAAAATAAAGTGAGATAAAGTTAACCAAACAATATTTTTTATGTATCCATAAAAAATCGATATTTTTCGGCTTTATTTTTTTTTTCACACTAATTTTAAGACGAAACGATATTGAAAAAACTTTGATACGTTCTAAGATTATTTCTACACGATCCTGTACGAAGAAATTGCCAAAAAATTTAAAACATACAACTTGATTTTTTTTTCACTTTACTTTACTTTACTTTTTGGGTAACGTATTTAACTTTATTTTAACGGGTAAAGTAAAGTATTTAACTTTACTTGATCGGGTAAAGTAAAGTTCTAATACTTTACTTGATCGGGTAAAGTAAAGTTCTAATACTTTACTTTATTTGGTAAAGTAAAGATAAAGTGCCAGCCATAAGCCATCATGTTTGAATTTAATTTTTATTTTAGATGGATAGTCACATTATTGCCATTTTGGCTTATATCATGAGTTCTTGTTGTGTGGTTTGAAGTTATTTTATGATGGGACAATGTGAATTTTTTGAATTAATGAAAATAAAGTTACATCTAGTGGAAAAATTTTTCCATAAAAAGGCATGAGCGTGCTAAGAAGAAAACAGCGTTATAATTCTATGAGAACAGAACGCCTAATGTTTGTCTTAACGGTAGGGATCTACGAAAGACCCTGTGAAATAACATAGGAAAAATTTTGTCGTCGCCGCCGCCGCCGAAAATGACCTCCTCGGCGAGAGCTCCTCGCCGCCGCCGCTGATGCCTTAAAAATTTTCCGCCGCCGCCGCCGCCGATCAAATGATCGGCTAACACCTCTAGCTGTGATTTATGTTATCAAGTGAGGTGGCAAACAAAACGCATGTAGTCTTACTTGAAGAAGTTATCAGCTTTGCCTTGATCATAGAATTTTTTGTACTCCTCGAAGAACTTCTCGTTTTTGAACTTGCTGTTTGGGAAACTACGAAGAAATTCCTAGAGACAAAGAGCACAACATTACCGAATCTGACGTGTGTGGAAGTGTCATCAGTTCAATTTACTGCATGCCATTCGCGAATTTCTATAGAAATGATAAAAGAAAGGTATATATTGCAAAAGCTGAAGGAGAAATTGTCGGGATGTAAAACCTTAATAAAAAAGGATGTCGAACACTAGAAATGTCAAGAAAGCAAAAAAAAAATAATGTTGAATCAGAGTTGCGTCGAAAAAAATGTCGAAAATGTCAGCATATAAAGCTGAGACCTTTTCAACTCTGTTATCAAATGAGAGACATATTACATACATAATATTGTAGACAATAGGCAAAAAAGTACAGTACCACTCATCGTGCATATTAAATGTTGAAGTTTATTAGTGTTATTTTGCAATCCTCTCTCAAACCATATAATAGAAGACCTACTCAACATAGAAAACCCTCCAAAAGGATCGCTTTATACCAATTTTGTGTATGTGCTAACAGAAATGGCAAAAACTCACAAAAAGTTCGATGGACCATCATAGAAGAACCCTAGTCTTTTATTATGAGGGATGGTTTACAATTGTTGCTAAACTATCTAATAGTTTCTCGAGATCAAGATTGGGGATGACATTGACTATCTTCTGTTTACCTTCATCCTCAGACTAATAAAAGTTGGCGTTTTTTCAAAACAAGAAGATATGGTTTATTCTTGACGAGGAATATGACGCGAATTAGCATTACACTAATAAGAGGGTGTGAGTAATACATCTCTAGTCAAAAAATACTTCCGTAAATTGTTTTATTGATTGATGATCATCTTTCTTCTTACTCTATATGATTCATTTCGCACAATAAACTGTCACCAAGAGTAACATAAAGCAACGGTAGACATCAACAGAATGTAATTCAATACTAGATTATCTATTTACGACATCTACGAACTTGCGATATTTTTTCTTTAAATATTGTCATCGTTTGATATATTTTTTCGCCTATTTTTATGCCATTGGAGA